GTTGGGGCGCCGGGCCCGACGTGTGCGCGGCCCCGGAGGGGGCAGCCAGGTGGCCGGAGCGCGGCGTGAGCCGGCTGTGGGTGTGTGCCCCTTCCCGGCCCCGGGTCCCATTTACTCCGGTGCTTTTCTTCAAGATGGAGGGATCCCCGGGCCTGGACTTTAACTGTTATCCCTGTTACCCCCCCGGGAGGGTTAGTGACCCTGTCCTGTTTGGAAAACCCTCGCTGCCCTCTTTTCCCTTTATGTGTAATTACGGTTGGATCATCTCTGCGCTTTGCTCAGATTCTCCTTCCTCCCTCTGGGGTTGAGGAGGAGGAGACACATCTGACCAATTAATGTGTGTTTGTGAAACAGGCAGCAGCAAACAGTCATTTCAGCTTCTAGGAATTAGGCTCACACAGGGTGGAGAGATCAGAGCCCTTCGGGGGGAATATTTCTGAACAAATCACAGATGATTAAATTCTCTAAGAAACGGCTTCCTACCTAAATGAGAGTGGGAAAGACGGAGAGGAAGCCTGTCTGTTTTCAGCCATGTGTTCAGAGCCCCAGGGGTTGAGGAGAGTCCCTAAGCCCCCGCAGGCCTCTCTTTTCTGTATTAGGCTTTGCTTTGCAGCCTTGAGTTAATTTCACCCCTGCTGCTTTGTCTTGGGGGAGGGAGTGCTGGTTTAGGCTGTTGTAAGGAGGTGACTATTCTGCTGCCACACACAATAGTCGTGTCATTTTATCGGGAGTGCTACCCCAGGGCTGAGAACTGCTGCAGCAGAGATAAACCGGTCCCTCTCACCCGCCTATTGTGTACACAGTGAAGGTCATAGGTTCAAGTCTTGTCTGAGAGCTTTGGATATGCTCCATCTCCCAAGCTCCTCAGTGCCATTTTCTTCCTTTTCCAGACTGGGGCTTGCCATTGGAGGAGGCCAGACAGAAAGGCTCTTCTTTTTGAGAGAGGAACAATGCAGAGCTCATTGGCACACATTTTTCAGAAGAATAGGGGATGCCAGCCATGTTGTGCCTGCCTCTTTGCTTAGCCTGTACTAAGTTGTGGAGCAAGAGTGTGTGGGACGCTGGACTCTGGTGTTCGTGTCAGACCTTTAAGGAAGAAGACAGCGAGGGGAGGTTTCTATTCTTACTGGAAGCATCATGTTTAATTTTTTAAAAAAGAAATGGGACACTCACGCAGTGATTTTTTTGCTTTTGGTTTAGGAGCACCGCTAAAAACCTGTGCAGAGTTAAGATGGGGAGCCAAGGACCAGCTGCCTTTTTTAATGGTGACTTCTTGTCCAGTAATTGCAGAACAAAAAAGCCACACAATTTACCTAACCAGACGAGCTGTGAAAACAAAACAACTTTCTTTTATAATTATTTTAAGTCTAGTGAAAGGAGAGGACGCGCTCATTTTGTGGGAAGTCCCTTATCTGCCTCAGTATGAGGGAGAAATTTGCCAAGGAGACATTAACAATATCGTTTAGGTCTTGGGAATTATTCATAAGAGAAAAATGAGAACAGCCTAGAAGGAATCCTATCCTTGTGTGTACCTTATACAGGTGCCCGAACACTATCAGGTTAGTTTTCTATAACTGTTTTGTGAGAAATTATTTGAGGTTAGAAAAGAGGTTTCCCTTTGGGACCTTAAGGAAACTTTTCTCTAAAAAGAGCTTAGAAATAAAATTCATCGTGAGAAGGGAATCGTGAACAACACACTACACACTGCACCCAGCCAGCCATTTCCACAGGGTGTTATTGAATGGGGCCTCGACTTTGGTAAAGATCTTTCTGAGGTAGTCTGTGGTGCTTCTCTCATCCCTTTATTTCACTGAGGTTCTGAAAAAGATGGCATGCCACTTAGATGGTGTTGGGCTTTCAGTGGTCTTAGGCTCTTCTTAACCAGTATATTTTTTGATAACACAGCTGCTTCTTAAGGCCATAGTAGAGCTGTTTGGGTCTCTTGAATGAAACCTCGGTTGAGTCCAGCCTTTTTATTTTGTGTCGGTCAGCATTTATTTCCCAGTGCTGTCAGGTGACAGTGGAGTCAGCAGCCTCAAATTAAGTTTGCCCTGATTAGGTTTAGTAGTTTCAGAGTTGGGCCCTTGCCACAAGGAATCTTATCTGAGTCTTCTGATTGTGACTGTCTTTCAGAGAGCGCTTTGAATTTTTCCCCCAGCTTCTTGGTAGGAAATATTTCCTTATGAGAGGTGTAGATAGCCAAACTGATAAGTGCTCCTTTTGTGTGAGGATATGGAAGCATAATTTTGGCTCCTGGTAGTAATTATGTTGCAATTAACATATAGCAGCTAAATGACTGGAACAGGATAATTTGCTGAGGGGTTTACTGATTGCTCTGTGAAGTGGAAATGCCACTCCTTATTTATTTGACTCCCAGCACTCCTGCCCGAACTCAGGTGTGGAGAGTGCATACAGGACTGATTCTTGTTCTCCAGAACCTCCCACTCTACCTTCCCTTTCTGTTCTGCTGAGTTACCTTAGTACTTTCACTGCCACTTTGTCCTGCTCCAAAGGGAGCTGAGCAATTGTTATTTCCATTGTGGAAAACCAGCATGGTTGGGAATACTGCCAGGCAGATGGGGCTGCTCTGAGATAGGGCAGCCTCATGCTGTGTGGCCAGTTTTCTTGATAGGAGCTTAATTCTCACTTCTACTGGATTTTAAAGAACCAGTTTCCCTTTAAAAACAAAAAAGAAACTGCAAAATACAAAATCACATCAGTGTTTTAACTGGGCTTTATTATACCTCTCTGACAGAGTTGGCGGTGACAAAATGAAGATAGGTGATGCTGATAGGCAGGTTCTGGGTCCACCAAGTGTCAGGAAAGGACTCTTTTCACTAGGGAACAGGTAATTCACCACAGCACCTGCCTGGCAAGGCATGTGGAATTGGCAGCAGCTGTGCAGCTGAAGAGGGATTATTGAGCAGGTGGTTGAAGAATCACATGCCACAGTGACAAGAAACTGCTTAGTCTTCTGTGGTTTAGGTTCAGTTCAGATGTGTGAAATTGCACTTTGTTTCACAGTTCTTAATGCCTATTGTTGATTTGTTAGTGAGATGATAATGGAAGAGAGAAAAGAGGTTCTTCTGTCTTTTTCTTTTAGATTCCTGAGTAGCATGCCCTAGACATGGTCCTACATGGCCTTATTGTATTTCTGGGAGTTCTGGCTTTTTGCCCGATGAATGGGAAGGAAATAGTGGTAATTTAAGTACTTGTTTATTAGAGGGAAATGGAAAACAGAAAATTCTTTGGTTTTAGTGTGGTGGAAAAGATTTGGCCTACCAAGGGAGGATACCCAACAGGTTTTATGCAAAGGATATAATAGACTTTTTGTGTTGTTTCTACATGATATGCCTTATCAAGAAATTTGCATGTTTTTATTTTATGAAGGTAATTCTTTACATGAAGTTTGCATCTCTTCAACTATTTCTTTTATTCATTTTTAAATTTTTTTCCAGCACCTTTGTAACTCCTTTCCCTGATACTGAGTTCAACATCATTTCTTAGAATCAAATTATCACTAGTGGGCAAAATGTTAATAAAAAAAATGTCAAGGAATTATCTCTACTTAAATTTCTTTTTTTTTTTTTTGAGAAAGGGTCTCGCTATGCAGTTCAGGATGGCCTTGAGCTCACTTTATAACCTAGGCTGGCATTGAACTTGCAACAATCCTCCTGCCTCAGCCTCCCCAGTGCTGGGATTACAGGTGTGCGCCACCACGCCCAGCTAAAATATTTCTTTTAAAAACAATTACAGTATTTCTTATAACTTGGAAGATGAGACTTGAGGTTTTCTGAAATTTTTCAGATTTTTCTTGTAGAGGATCATTGTTACATTCTGTTAATATGGTTTTATTTCCTTTCACATGCTTATGCCACTATAGAAGGCATTGGCATGGTACCTTAAATTTATAAGCAAGTTACTTATTGTTTATTTTTTGACCTTTTTATTGCCCTGTAGTCTTTTTGTTGTTGTTTTTGTTTTTTAAGTCAGAGTTTCACTATATAGCTCAGGCTCACCTTGAAATTATCGTGCAGCCCAGGCTGACCTCAGATTGTCATCTATCCTCCTGCCTCAGCCTCTGAGTGCTGTTTCTGTATAGGCCATAGACTGTG